ACTAAAAATAAAAATTTAAATAATAACTTATAGCTCTGTTTTTGTATTTAGCAAAGACGGGATTAAGAAATGAGACACAGTTATTAAATAATATAAATAATCTTTATCTAATAAAAGTTTTTGATACTAAATAATTAAAATTAATATATTGATAATGTGAATATTGAATAAACCCTTAAAAATAAAATAAAGATAAAGAATAGAACAAATAATAAAGATAATCTTTAAAACACTTGTCTTGTAGGCTCGAACGAATAATTTCTCATTTCTCAGAATGAAACCTTACAAGGACAAAGTGCTTGATATGAGAAATTAACAAAAACAAAACCTGAAAAGAAAGTAAGCTAAAAGCTTCGATTTATTATTAAGAGAATCGTAGATAACGTATGGTGTTTGTCAAATCAATTCTGTAGACGTAGTCTAACAGAATGAGAGTTAACCATGATTTGCAAACGAACTCAAACCTGTAAGAATTAAGAAAACGTACGGTGTTTGTCAAATCAATTCTGTAGACGTAGTCTAACAGAATGAGAGTTAACCATGATTTGCAAACGAACTCAAACCTTAAACGGTTAGACCTTCCTTATGGTCTTTTGTATGAATGAGATATGCGTAATTCCTACGCAATGGCGGAAAGAGAGATGCAGGTACTGCGCAGTTTGATAGAAGGCCTTCAATCAGAAATTGAACTTGAGAAAGAATCCTTTGAGACTTTCTAGAGTGTTTCTTGCTTAGTATAAGCCAAGAAACGAAAAGAGGATTTCTTCCTGCCGATCAGAACACACCGAGAGAGATTACTTAGATAATTCACTAGAGATCAGAGAAAACGTGTCTTTTTGGCGGAAGCGAACGAAACTTACTAATGGCCGCGCAAGAAGAAGGCTAGCAGCGCCTCTGTTCAAGCGCCCTCTCGCGTTTTTAATTCGACAACGGTCCACTTTTTTTAACATATACCTTAAATATAATAAATAAGGTCAGAGATAGGACGTAACCGTCCTATCATTCAAAAAATAGTCGTTGCCGAACATTAACTTTTCTCATCATTTATTTAAAATTACAGACAGTCGATAAGTATCTTACAATACATAAATAACGCGATATAAATAGTGCTATGTTTGTTATAAAGTAGACTTATATGTAGCTGGTATTAAATACGGCTACATTCATCTTAGCTATATGCGATAGGTTGTATATTACGATATAATATTACTCATGAGCTGTAACGAACATACAGTGGACGATTGTGACCACCTACGTGAAATTTATAATTAACTTATAATATAATAAATTATAAGTTAATAACTTAAAACTTATAATTTATAATACATTTTTAGCTTGATATTTGTACGATGGTATGCTATCTGGGTTAAGAACTCTAACCCCGAGAATAATAACACTCGAAAATTATAACTTTCCAAAATTTTAACCTCAAAAATTCTACCCCGCGAAAAATCTAACCCCCTAAAAAAGTTTAACTTTTGAAGGGTTCTAACCTTCGGTTAGGGGTTATGGGTCGCCATTATTTTCCATTTGAAAGTACCTACGTCGATGCGTCTCGTTGAGACAAGCAACTTTGGTCCTATAAACATATAGCAAATAACGAATATTTATGGAGTTATAGCTCTTTTTCGTCGCCAATTTTTTTTTTTTTTTT